AAATCAGCGCTTCTTCAGCATCCGATTCGCACCGTGAATCCCTCTACATCCGCTACCATAGATGAGGACTCGAGATTCCAGGCGAACAAATCGACACGCTGGCTTGCGTTTCCATTCAACGGACTGCGGTTGACATCGTCCATGTAAAATCCCCCCCTTAAACCATCCACAACGAAGCCTGCAAATTCGCATCCACGAGGCTGTGATTTCCTCAACTGTTCCTCCACTCTCTCCTTGTCACTCCGCTTTCGGAGTCTTTCCAACTCGCATCATTTTGAACTACAGTCACTCCACACACTCCGCATTCACACATCTGCACACCACAAATTCCCATGTCAGTCAACAGTCTGTGTGTGAGTTGGTTCTGCCTCACCAACACGTCGTCTCATCAACGTCGACTCCTCATTTTGTATCTCACTCTGGCCACCTCGAGTCGCATCGTCCCTCAGCACATTCAGTTGTCATACAACGCCCTCACGTGCAGGACCACGTCATGAAACTTCCGCCAATGGCATCAGCAACCACCGCTGTCGCTGCTGCTGATGCTCCATGAAAATATTTATATTGCAGGTTAAAGTAGAAATGCGAGTGTCCATAATGTCCTCCGTGTGTGTTGCCACTAACAGAGCCATCTTAGCTACACTGGCGATTAACACGCTGACCCCAAACTGGCCACCGTTACTAATCAGAGGCTGATTCGTTAACACGAAGCCGCAACTTCCTATCCTGCCTCTCTGCCACTGACTTCAACAAGCCTCCTTTGTCCTTGGCATCGGAGACAATCACGTGAACAAAGATGGTGATGTCGGAGACTAAATAAAAGGGGTGCATAATCACGTCGAGTATGCCAGGGACAGTGCACCAGTTCCCCAGGTGACGCCGAGTGCTCATTGTGCTCGACAACCGCACGTTTTCTGTGCACCATCTCAAAGTCTTTGGTTCATTTCTCTTGTTCCGGAGACGATTCACACAGGATCTCGACTGGCGATCACCCACGGCAGTTTCTCGCAGTTCGATTAGAACCTCATCGAGTTCACTTTGCTCAACTTCATCCCGTCTACGTGGCGAGGTGAAGTGGAGGTCATGAAGCAACTCCGTCAACGTGGCATTATGGTGTCATATACGTCTCGACCTCCCCCGACTTTATCACCTTCCATCATCCGCACTTTCATTACACTCGCCCAATACAGAGAACACGGTCAGATTATCCCATGCAGTCAAACGAGTCCTGATATCCCATTGATCGCCCACTCAACGCTCATGTCATGATTAGGACCAAGTTACGCTTTCTTCACGAGATATACCGTACACCAGACCACCACAACTCGTCACGAGGTGAAATGATGGCAGCCAAGTGAAGGTGTGCATTTAATGCTAGTGGAATCCAACCGACGTCGCTTTGTCAGCGCCATCAAAACACAAGCCGGGGTCAGAATGTGATTACGCCTCGATAACATCTTGGCTGGCGTGGTGTGAGCTGCCGTGTAAACAACGCGAGCTCAACCTGGCGCCGCCTCACCACCATCCAGCCAAACCACAACAACAGCAATAACGACAGTGCCATCATTCGCGCTGCTGCAGTGGCTTGTCAGAGGACGCGTGTCAATTGAGGAAGCTTGTCTAAACAGGCTTATCTGGAGGAGGTGGCGATTTGAACCCGTGACTGTCCCTCCCTCCCTCCCCCACTCAACACTTCATTGGTCCACGCACTCTGCTGGTCCTTACTGTTCACCCATACACTCCTCCTCAAACACGCCCACGTCCACGTCCACGCCCACGCACACACACCATGATCAAATGTTTGTGTCAGAAATTCACAAGACGCAGCGTCGGTAGCATCAAGACCACTACAAGTTGAATCCCCCGTGTTTTAAAAGCATTGTTTACTTGGCGGAATTCGTATAATATGCAGTGCCGTCGAATGTGCTGTTTATCAGTTGCCATAGTCGTAAACTCTGGCATTCTGAGGGGTTTTTAACTCACGTAGACTTGCCTTTCGGTGTTGCCACAAACCACAGACGAGGTTAATATTTCTGTTTTAAGTGCAATGTTAAGCTAGAAGGCAGAAACTGAAAAAATTAAGTTATATAGCCAGGAATTAGGCTTCTTTTTTGATGACATACAGGGTAGACGACTCCAAAACCGGTGCTAAGAGAGTCTGTAAACTAAAACAATTGAGAAAAGTTCAAATAATATGGTAATTTTTACAATCACCACTCGCGTTACTCCCACCTCCTTCCACAAACTCCTTTTACACTACGGGGGTGTAGCGCATTGTCAGCGAAAGCGCGTGAGTAAACCTGCTTGCAGGTCTAATGATGCCAATGACTCATCCCTGTTTTGCGTTGGATACCATTACCAGCCGTTGAATACTCACACCCAATCATCCACTTGCAGATGATAATAACCAATCGCATCCGCCCTGATCTCTCTAGCCTTTGGTCTCTCTTTGCTTCGTAGTGTTAACTAGCAAGGTTGCCACTAAAGATGTTCCTCTGTACAATCGGAAACAATCTTTATAGGTGCTGAGAAACGATTAAAACCGTGGCATCGTGTTTTCACAAGTTTACATCCTATCACATCTATTTTGCGAATTTGCTTCACACCACTTGGAAACGCATTTTTCACGTGTACGTTTAGACGTGTAAATAGCCTGGGTAACTCTGTAACTGCATCAACAGGATGCCGACAGACACTTCCAAGCACGTTGGTTAACCGCGTTATGTTTGTCTATTCTGGTACACAACAAACTTGAATAAATTTACACGAAAATGTTTTCAAATTTGGTGCCCGTCCGTCTGACAGAAAACGCAACTGCGTCAAATTCACTAGTGTTTTTAGCAAAAGTTGCAGTAAGAAAAAATAAGAATACTGGTAAAAACGTCGGATGATTTAACGCAAATTAGATTACCAGATCGACAAACGATCGTCAAACTTGAGATTCTCTTTGTGGGTAATTAAAGTCGATTTACGATATGTTCATAAGGGCTACTAAAATCACATTGGAAAAATCGCGATGGGGAAGGCCAACAAGGACCAATAAGAAGGCCAATAAAACAGGCCATTCATGAATTCCGTGTTCAACTTGACCACTGACATGATATCAACAGTTCTAGCAGCCTTCACGACTGTATGACCTGCACAAACTGTCCGGGTTTAGTGACCCACTGGTCGAAATCTGGGACTCAGTCACTTTTGTCCAATGACTGGGCAACTCGAGACTCAGAACGACGACGTTCAGGATCCTAGTTTGTTCCTGATGCAGAAATCAACAATGGTGAGCCTACATCAGCTGAATCGTCTAACAACAATTTCAGAATTACCACGTAGCGCGTTTGCTCCGAAGCGGTTGCAATCAGACGATAGATGTTGCGGTGAACCACGTTTGTCGTGACGTTGTCTCCGTCTGCAGCACCGCGGAGGTTGTTGGCGAGAAAATATCACGATGGCGTGGAAGACTCGACTGTCTGCCCAGCCGGTTGGCATGGCCCGCGGTTGTGGAGGAGTGTGCGTGGGCGTGGACGTGGACGTGGGCGTGTTTGAGGAGGAGTGTATGGGTGAACAGTAAGGACCATCAGAGTGCGTGGACCAATGAAGTGTTGGGTGGGGGAGTGAGGGAGGGACAGTCACGGGTTCAAATCGCCACCTCCTCCAGATAAGCCTGTTTAGACAAGCTTCCTCAATTGACACGCG